AAATATTAAACCACAATTACATTTCTTTGTCAAAGATGTTTTGTAACGACATTTTAATAATGTGTCGCTCATATCTATACACTCCCCAACACGACAACACTAATGATATAATGTTGGTATCTGTCTGGTTCTCGTCATTGTAACAGTAGCTGACGTGATGGAAACCTACATTCAGAAACCAGCGGGGAGAGATTCAAACACTATGATGCTTCTTTTTACTTAAATCCTTAAACAAACTGTCTTTTATCCTCCAGTCTTATGTGACATCAGACAAAGCTCCATCCACATGTGTTCGTGTTTGATCTAACGTGTCTCTCCTGTGTGCTGCACGTGGTACCTGGCAGTAGTTTGCTGAGCTGCACTTTGCTAACCCTATCTCCCTGGTGACAGACTCATCCCTCCATCTTTTTTCAACAAATCCCAGCAGCCCACATACCCCTCCCATGAACACTGGAGTAGGATGTGTATTGTGACCAGGCTGAGTGATATTCTTCCAGAATTTCAAGCGTGGCTATCTTTCCCTCAGGCTGTCTCCCTCTCGTCCTCTATGTGTGAGTGAGTGTGTGTGTGTGAGTGTGTGACAACCATAAAAGTTGGCAGACAGCAGACTAAAAACAAAACACACTACACAGCAGTTTTCTCTTTCTTCCAGACTTAAATTTCTTTTTGAAGACGTGGTAACAGCAGCTCCTGTTTTTCTGAAGCTGTCGCAGAACAAAGTCGGTGTATCTCTTTGCGCTGACTCAGTGGATGAAGCTTCTCGTCTTGATGATTTATTCACACTTTGTTTTCAGCCCAAGTGAAGTTGGGATGCAGCGTGTCCTTGATTGTTTAACCAAAATATTTTAGTGCTGCTGAAATTCCCTGAAATGTCGAAGAGTAGCTTCTATTTCTCCAACTTGACTGTGATCTTTGTTTTTTTGATTATTATTTTTTTCCCTTTCACAGTTCAAAGTGCCATCAGCAACCAGTGCAATAATTACAAATGGTGAGTCAATGATTTTTTTTTTTAGCTGTCTTTACCAAACTCACTGCAAAAGTGAGACATTTACTAGACGTAACTTACACCAGAGAGCGACCCTCATTCTTGAGATGGAGATGTTTGGGAACCCAGATAAGATTTAAAACCTCAGCACCGAGCTGGAAGGATTTGCCGGCGCTCTAACAAAATCAGGGAGAGCTTTCGACAAGTCTTTGAACTGCGGAGTGACGCTGAAATAAGGTGATAAAGTAAAGACTGTCTAATCAGATGATAAATCCTAATGTTCAGTGAAAGATCCACCAGCCAACCTACAAACTGTCACTTCAACAGTCATCTGTTGTTATTGTACATGTTTGTATTGCTACTTAAAGCCAAAAGGATTTTTATATAAAGACTCTGTGTAGTATAGATTTCTGGATCCGCACCCTCGGTACCCTCGCCTGTATCCTGACCCATATCCACCAAGTTTCATGGTAATCTGTCCAGCAGTTCATAAATAATCTTACTATTAAACCAGACAGGGGGGAAAACATATGGCGGAGTTAATGAATGGAAAATGTAATGATGTAGTAAATGTTCATTTCCTGAGGTTTTGAAGGAGAATTTCTGGGATTCCTTCTCTTTTTATTTCTAGAGGCAGTTTTCACCATCACCGTCTCGGAATGAGAGTATTACTCATAACTTACAGCAGCTCTAATTAATGGTAGCCTCCATTTCTGCTTTTAATTCTACTTCACCTCTATTGATCTCTATCGGCTACCAGCTGGAGTTGTAAAAATGCTGATGCCACTTATCTCAGCCCCCGAATCGCACTTTGTTTGCTCATTAGAGACGAGTAAGCTCGGGACTCACAGCCCTAATTAAAGATGTACGATGCTGATGTTCAAAAACATGCCTCTTATTTTACTTGATTTACTGCTACTGGTATTTATTTTTAATCCCGTTGAAATGTGAGGATTTGACTCGATTTCACTTGGAACGTGAAGTACCGAAGCGAAAATTAAACTAAATTTAAGCTGTTTGAAATCTTTCTATCAAGTACCAAACAGACGCTAAAGTAACCTGAGGCTTTAAAAATGCTAACAAAGGAAAGCAGATGCAGAACAACTGTAACAACAGGTATATTAAATTAAATTAAGTTGAGGTTGTAAGATGGATGGAATTCATGAAACTGTGAAGCATGATGGTGTTTGTTTCCCTCTGTGCCGTCAGTGTAAACATGTCAAATGTATTTTCTCACATTATGTAGAGGTTAGTGATAAAGTGTAGAAACATATTGCTCATGGATTTGTATTTAAATGGCTGACACACGGCTGCAGTTTTATATCAATATGATTTTTAGTTCTCCAGTTGCAGAATTAATAAGTGGTCCGTTATTATTCCAAATGGAATTGCCTGCTGCTGAGGCACGCTCCCCTTTTTGTTGCCTCGTGCAACATCATTATGGATAAACTGATGAAATTGTAAATAGTCTTTACTTCTGCGCTGCTCATTTGCATGACAATCTTTTCCTTTTACACTGCTGTTGTTTTCTCTCTTTGTTGCCTTGCAGATGGAATAGGAATCAACCCTGCCCAGACAGCAGGTGAGTTGTTGCTTTGGAGCCTCGGATAATCTTTGAAAAGATGCTGTCTCTCAACATTTTATTAGTTCCTTCACAAAATAGCCTCTCGAGATGCTGTAAGAGGTTTTAATTCTTCTATTCAGTTGTTTTTTTAAGGTTCTTTGAAGCAACCTCGGGGCTTCTCTTTTACGCTATTCGCCACCTGTCAGTGTATTTTAATCCAATAATTAATAAAGAACTAAAATAAAGCTTCTTTCACAATACACTTTGGTAATGCTGGTGGCGATGTATTTATTATAGAATTAATATGATTACTTCGATAAGGCTCCCAGAGGAAGAGTATGTGGAGCATATGTGGGTGGTTCCACGAAGGAAGGTTAAGAAATTGAAAGATTAGCACAGAAATCCTCACTCAAGGCGACGTCACAAATCAGTCTGGGATGCGGATCAGTTACTAAAGTCAGGTTTGAAACAGACTGTACATAAAGATGGAGGGTGAGTAAGAAATAAATACATTCTCTCAAACTGAAGCAAACCACAATAAGCCTGACCAGAGTCTAGACTTGTTTGATGTTTGAATAAGTTTCTGTGCTAATCTAACTTGATTTTAATGACATCTGCTTTGTAGAACTGAATTCTCTCTCTCACTCTCTCTCTCTCTCTCTCTCTCTCTCTCTCTCTCTCTCTCTCTCTCTCTCTCTCTCTCTCTCTCTCTCTCTCTCTCTCTCTTCACTGACTGCATCTGTGTTTGAGCTTCAGAGTTGTTTGTCTGAAACTGGTGTAAACTGAGTCATGAATTTAGATGACGCGCCCCGAGAGGTTGCATTTAATGTTAAACTAAATTAAAAAGTGACCTGACTGGAGGCGAGCTAGATGCACCAAGCTGTTCAGTCTGAAATAACTTTGACCTGAGATTCCCACATTATTGCTGAGCCTCAGTGAACCACTTTTTCTCCTTGTCAGCCTCCGTGGTGTTTCCCTGAGGTTCATGCTCTAAGTGTAGCCCACCTCTCCTTATGTAAGTCCTTATTTTCAACAAAGCCAGTTAACAGATGACTGGATTTTCTGCACAGAGCAGGATAAGGTAATGTATGCTTTCACCAAAGGCAAGATTGGGTGTTCAATGCTCAGAGAGGAAGTGAGTGGTGGGCATTCACAGCAGCTTTTTATCTGCGAAACATCCATGCTGTGTGCTGCCAAGAATAGCCTCAGTTCAGACACCTCTGTCAGATTGACTTTTTTCACCCAGCCACCTCATGTTCATGGGATTGAGTACAGGCTGGAAACTGATGCGGTGTAATTTCACAACCATTTTCTCTTCACACGTCGTTATAAAGGCCCACGGCACACGTTTCCAGTGCAATAACAGAAGCGCACTTACACTGATGATCCTGGGAATGAGTTATGTAGGATCTGTCAGCATGATTGCTGACTGGACGAGTCAATAAATGAATTAGCTTGCTGTGGGTCCGTACTGCAGGATTATAAATGATTTATTCACTTCTTAATAAATTGATGCTGTGGACCGTGGATGCTGTAGACAGACAAATAGGCTGAAAAATGGGCACCAGAAATTTTTTTTATTTTTCATTTTAGACTTATGTCTGACCTCATTTCTGAAATCTCTGAAATGAATCTAAATGAATAGTTGTAACCAACCATGTAAACAAATCTATTAATCACTGTATCAACTTTTACAGCAACACTTTGCAACTTTTTGCCCTAAAACAACTTCAATATGAGTTTGCTGGTTCACACAGAATCAGGTCCAGCGAGGTCAAGAGTAATGTTGAGCTGTAGAACTTAAAAAAGACCTAACAGTCATTATAAACCAGAGTTTATATCCAATAATCTGCAAGAAACTTCAAATATGAAGAGTTAGGTTCAGGCAGCCGGGGATCATGGGTAACATCCATCGTTCAGTTGTGTTTCAGTTCAGTGAGAAAGTTATTTCTCTACATGAAATCAATTTAATCGCTCAGACATAGAACCCAACAGAGTTCATCACCACGTGTGACTCCAGGGGGCGCTGTTGCTCAGTAAAAGTTACATACTTTTGCTTTAAGCTTATTTATGGTAGATTCAACACAGATTTTAAAAAATAATAACATTTTCAATCATATTTTCAATATTCATCATCCAAAAGATGAAATCTTAACAGAAAAAGTAGCAAATAAATAAATGACGAAATAATGGAGGAAGAACTACAGGTGTATATTTATGATGAGTTATCTAGTGTTGCTTTGAAATGTTTTCACCTCTGTTCTGAATATACCATCATTTCTGTATCTTTTGAGTAGAAGTGTGTTCCACCATGTTGAGCTGACATCTTGTTTGCAGCACAGCAGCAGTAGCGACTGTAAACCCGCCCTCTTAAAGCAAAGATTATAAACTGGGATCTTCATGTGGTGCTCTGTCCTGTGTTGCAGGAAATGTGTTTCTAAAACACGGCTCGGAGCTTCGCATCATTCCCAGAGACAGAGTGGGAGGACAAGTAGACTGATGCTGCGTTTCCTCGTTGACGGCGTAATGACTCATCCGGCAGAATCATATAACACTTGAGACCCGGGAAACTCCTCAGCGTTTGACGTAATTATTTCTGTGGCCCACAACTGACAGTGACTCACATGAGAATATATATATTTAAACTTGATGACGACTTGCACTCACACTTGCATGGTCCCTGCTTCTTCAGTCGTTTTATTTCCATCTGTTAGTGTTGTTCCATCTGAAGTTTGGAATGATTACCCAGAATTCCCAGAAATTCCATGCAATCATTGTAGAAGAGCAGAGCAGCTGCATCGTGGGATACGTTTTAGCAAAGATCAAGAAACAACTGAGTCAACAGTAGTTTTTGTACCTTTGTAAATGACAATAAACAATCAGTATGACTAACAGTACATGCTTTAATTTCTTTTTAATAGCAGTGTGAATATATTAATGAATATATTAATGTAGACGATAAAGTTTGACATGCTTTTAATGACCATTTTCTTGAATGTTGATGTTGTTAAAATGTCTGTTCACATTGTTTCTTTTGCTGTCCGGCATCTATAATAAAGATAATTTCATTTCATCATCCATTACTAGTGGAGCGTATCTACAGACAAGAAAATATACCGGCTAAGGTAACGACGTGTTTGTTGAGCTGTGTCACTGTGCCAACACGTGGATCTTTGCTGCCCTCTGCCAGGTTACATTCTAACATCAGTTTGTCCTCAGCCCATATGCACTGCTCTGCATTTAAAACCATGTGTCGTGTCCCGTCGTCACACAGTAAATTACCCTGAGTGACATCAAACTTTTTAATATGCTCTGCTAGCTTAATTGGGAGCCGAGGAGCAGGTGGTGAGAAAACAAGGCAATGAATTCAAAAAGCTTCGATTAAAATCCACTGAATGTGTCTTGATCTGAGAATTCTGGCGCTGGTTTCTTCCTGGGAAATAAACAAAGTGTTTGATTGCTGTTTTTTTATTCACTTGTTTCTTGGCACAATTCAAATCATATCGAACAGAAAATATACTTTCAAATTACGTTTGTCCATGACTAATAGACCAGCAGGTTGCTTTATTGTTCCTCTCACTGATTAATGAAGGAAGGCAGATTAATATCCTCCTCCACATTCATCACTATCACCTGAGAAGGTCTGAATCATTTGTGAACTTGGTGAAAAACAAAAATAAATTTCATATCTTGGCAAAGAGAGAACAATGAAGCATGTGTGCTGTCATACACAGGAGATAACACACCTTTATGTCTCGGCATCCATTAGGATGCAGGCTCAGATGGCGGGGAGGAGCAGGAGCCCCGTCACAAATGGATTTTCTCATATATTTTAATCAAAGTCACCATGAGACTCGTTCACCTGAAGCCTGAAATGACTAAAGACCACAGAGTTCCCTGAATACCACAGAGTTTTGGAGTCACCGCTCTGAAAAATCTTAATTACTGCAGCTGTTTGTGAACTAATATGAATGTGAAGCAAAGAGTTCAGTTTGAATCTTTAAAATCTGAATATTTGTTCACAGAGCAGCACAAATATTTGTGTTTCTTTTACAAAGGATAACAAGGTTTCATTTATTAAAAAAAAAAAAGTAAGGAATCAGCTCATTCCATCACCCTCTGATTTTGTGCCCTTTCAGGCATGAAATTAAAAATTTCACTCTTAAACAAAGTGGGTGCCTCCATTTAATCATTATAAGCAATGATGTAGAAAGATGCTTTATTATCACATTCCAGGTTGAGCTCTGTCGGGATGAGCTGCTGCTGCACCGTGCAGCACTGTGCCACCTGGACCAGGGAGAAATAAAGTCTTCTGATCCACTTCTCTATCAGCACCAACACTTCCCCAGGCTCCAGCAAGTCCATCATGGCTCCAGGGGGAAAATCCACATGAGAGAGATGATGCAGCAAACGGTCAGACTGGCGGCTCTGTCGGGGAAAAGATGCTTGGGGCAGATGCCACGTCAGAGGATGATGAGGCTGAGAGTCAGTGTTTGGGCCCGAGATGAGAGGAGAAGCAAAGAGAAATCATGGAGGAGGAAATGTGGGAGGACACGTGGTCTCCTTATGTTCCTTAATGACTGTTATCATGTTGTTGACAGAGTTGATTGTCTGGATCTTGCTTCCTCAGGCCTCTAACCTTTGACCTGTCCAGCTCGGTTGTCTCTGCCTGGAGACTGAGCGCTCGCTGGCTACATCTGAGGGTGGCGTCAAGAGGTCGATCCCCCACGCCAGTTTCTCCTCCTCGGCCTCTTGCACCTGTCTGAGTTCAGACAGAATTAGAAAAAAAGGAAAGAATTACGGAAATGACACTGAAGTTGTCACGCAACCAATTCAGAAACGTTTATCTTGTTTTTTCTAAACAAACCACAAAACGATCTGTTGAAATCATAGATTATAAAGATTAACCACATGAAAACCCCCGAAGTGAAGCCAAATTATCTCAATGGCCCCCTGGTGGCTTGTTGTTGTATAGGTTACAAACCCTATCGCCCCCATGTTAGCAAATGGGACATGGAGCAATTTAAAAAGCTCACATTAAGTAATTAAATAAGTAAATATTGTTTGTTTTTGTAATCCATCCAGTTTTTATTAACACTGGTGCTTCGATATGACCTGCGTGTGTTATTTATTGTTTCATTTGTAAAATAACAAACTAATTGTAACTGGACCTCCACAGTTTTACCTGCTGTTACAGACTTCGGTCACAAGGTGTCAACATTGAGTAATGTTACCATCACTCCGCGAAGTGCATCATGGTCCTTACTTCCTGTTTGACAATGTGGACAACTGCGATTCATGTCTTTGATGTTTTGGCGCCAGGGAGACGACGGCGTGTTACGTTGTGAAACCTCCAGAACGTCACGTAAGTTTGGAGGAACTGTTCGTTTTTGTTTGTCGTGTTTTTGTTCTTGAAAAATATGAAGTGAAAACCAGCCACAGATCGAGAAGCAGAAATAGACCAATGGTTAAAAATGAAAGGAAGCTACAAGGATTCCTGAAGTTGTGGAGTTCCGTTGAACTGATCGGCAGCCTGAAGCATCATTTAACTAGTTCTCATCACACTGAGTGTTCGTGTTTCTGATAAATGTTTTAAATCGTTTGATGCGAGAAACATCCTGATTCACTCAGCGCTATTTTGTAGTAGTGTCCAAATATTTAATGACATTTTTTATACCATACATAGTGCACTCATTGTTTCCCATAATGCATCATGAAAAGTAGTGTGCAACCGAAGGTCACTAACCGAGCAATATATACCATCATGCATTGCGTTGGCGGCGTAGGGACGAGAGGAGCGAGAGCAGCAGGAACAGGCTGACAAGTCGTACAAATGGAAATACGAGCTGAGCATCACAGCGAGAACTTGTGATTCATGATCTGAGCTGGTGAGCGGTTTAAAGAGTAGTTTAGTGTCTCAGTTTGAAGATGGTTGACACTCAGAGGAATGTGATGCTGACACAGGGATGACACATTTATATGAGCTGATCACATGAATCTCTCCCACTGACTCCCCCATTTTCTCCTCCCAGATCCTTTGGGCGCCCCCGCTGGTTTATGAATGACCCGTTGAGTGTGCTCCCCGGGCCTCCCATTAAAGACAGCCAATCTAAAATGAGATCTGATGGTCCTCCGCAGACGCCAGTGGAGATTAGACCAGCAGCACTGTGGCCACAGGTCAGTGAGCCGTGTGAAGAAATGAACGAACCAGGGAGTGGAAACTATCTCCCCTCTGACAACCCGTCCAGCTCATTCTCACACATCTGTCGCTCACACACATGTGGCGCCGTGCAGGTGTGTGTCTTCCATCACAACACAAACACAGCCAGGTGGTTTCGCTCTGCAGGGATATTGATAAAAAGCCATGTGAGACTCCACGTCAAGATTATTTATTTATATTAATGACCTAATTCTGCCCCCTTCTGTCTTAAAATAAGCACAGCAGCTGGAGGAAAATCCCACAGAGGAGCACAGGCACTGTTTGGCTCTTCCTCTGCACATTGACGCCATATTAATCTTGATGGAGTTCAGATATTTAGGCAAGAATATGACGTGCTGCTATTGTATATGATTCAGAAATGAGACAAGACTCAAGGAAGATTTGTGTTTATCATAGATCTGAGAATCTGAAATCTTTTGGGATAAAGTACAAGTGGATAATTAGCGTGGATGCAAAGCAAGACTGCATATTTTGGTTTTAAAACTAAAAACATGCCCAAACCCATTTTTTTGCCAGTTATTTTGAGCTGTACATTCATTCAGTTTTCTTGTCGTAAATCATTTAAGAGACTTTTCTTCCCCATTTTCTACTTCGATATTTAAGTTGGCATTTTTATTTCTCTGCTCACGGACAAATTGATTTGTCACCGATGTGACTTTTGATAATAAACCAATGTGTTGTAAAGAATAATAAACCTGCCAGTTCTAAGACATCCCCCCCCACACACACAAATTTTCACAGTTATTTAACACAATGTCACTTTTCAATATGAAATGAATTAATCCTCTTTGCTTCTGAAGGGCCTGTGAAGGACGGAGCTGGGAGGCAAGAGGAGTTTAGATTTTGAACATCAAGGTTTTATTTACTCAAGAATTAGTTAGTTAGCTGGAGCAAATCCCGGCTGCCAGAGGCTGTGTTCACTCTGGACGGGTCGCCAGGGCACCACAGGGCCGACAAGCAACCAATCACACTCATTCAAACCACAGACCAATGCTGTGAGGTGCTGCCCACTGTACCACCGTGCCATTATTGGAGTGTTTTCAAAAGCACAAAGCCTATTTTGATATTGTTTGTCGTACTGTCTCACTCCTGTTGCTTCCTGGTTCTGATGTGAACCACGAAACATGTGGGACTGAGCGTATTTAGAAATAGTTTCATATTATTCATATTATTCAGTTTGTCCGAGATCGTGTATCACTGCATTCTTCATAACACACTTGAGACAACAACATTCACATAAAAAGCTCAATGATGTATTTTAGTTTGTATTCAACAACAACAGGCTGCGACTTTAAACCATCTCCACTGTTTTTCAGTTTAAAAACATTTTTAAAAAGTCGTCTCACTTCTTTAAATTACAGTGAGTGGTCTCTTCAATCAGTTGAGGCAGTCCCACAGCTAATCTTTTATAATCCCCTTCTCTCTTTGTGTCTCTTCTCTCTCTGCATCGACGTGTGTAACAGGCTTGTGGGAGTGTTAATAAAGCGCTCGGAGAGTGTGTTTTAAGGACACAACAGCCACAGGCGTGTTTAGCTTGTTTGTTGTTTACCCATGAAGCTTTGGTGAAAACGGAGAGAGCCCGTCTGCTTTTCCAACAGCAGCTTATTCAGTCAGTGTGATGGTGCATGATGCTGCTGAGGGTGCTGAGACGTAGGCTGCTTAAAAACGGCACAGCTACTTTTATATCTCTGTTGTTCTGATCTCTTTAGACATGGCGGCAGCAGCCGAGCTCGGTGGATGTCACTCTGTCGGGTCCAGACTGAAATGTCTCAACAGTATCAGATTCTACAGTCACGGTCCCCTGACGATGAATCGGGCCCCTGACGTTTCATGAAGCGTTAATTTGAGATTGACTTTTTAG